AGACATGTAGGCATGGGGCTTGGCTGAAGGTCGGCCCGAGGGGGGCCGCGGGCCAGGTGCCCACTGTGCGTGTGCCTGCGTGGATAAGCACCGTCCTGTGGTACCGCGTGCATCGGCGTGCATGTCTCCCATGTGGGGTGTGCATGTAAGCGTGTGGCTGCGCCCTGGTCACAGCCGGCTCCTCAGTGCCCAGCCCCTCACAGCACACCCCTGGTGGGCTGCAGGCCCCAGAGGCCTTTCTGGAAACCTCAGGACCAGCTTCCTTCTCCCCGTAAAGGCCACTGCCCCCAACCCATCACTCCTAGAGACTCAGCAAATACCCTTTCGTCCCCTCTGGAAAGAACACGGAGCCATGAGCTCTCTCTTCCGGGGATCAGCACAACCCCAGCCCTCGTGGGAGGTGAGCTGCTGTGTCCGGAGACCCTGGCCCGGCCCAGCGGGGAGCCCCCAGGCATAGGCTCCCGGCCAACACTTGCACGGGAGCCGAGCATGAGGCCAGCTGCGTGTCCAGACCCTGCGTCCCCAGGGCTGCTCTTCTGCCGCTTTCCCACGGGGGAGCCCCGTGTGGGCAGTGGGCTGCCCGCGTAGCCCTCTGGGGCTGGTGTCCCTGTTGGTCACCTCAGGGGCAGCCTGGCCTCGCCCTGCCCAGCTGGGCACAAACAGCCTCATCCCGGAGGCGAGGATGGGGGTGTCAGAGACAGGCTCAGGACCCCCCAAATCAGCCCCCCATCCAGCGGGTTTGACGGCGTCCCGTCCCTTTCGTGTCCTGGTGGCAATCCCAGCACACTGGAGCCCAGGAGTCAAGCCGGGAGGTGACAGCGTGCCCTCAGGGTCACAGGAAGTGCCTTTCGGCATTTCTGGAAAAAGGAGGCTTTAACCGCTTTGTGGAGCAGGCGCACAGCTCCCTTCGGAAGGACACACGCGCACAAGAGGGACAGGGCAGCACGTCCTTTATATTCCGAGCATCCAGAAAGGACGTGGGCCAATGGGGACCCTGGCTTTGTGTCAAATCCATTTTCTACGCTTCAGTAAAGGGAGGGACGGAGGTTCCTCGTCAGGAACGGTGCTGTGCCCCCAGGCACGGGCCCTGCCAAGCTCAGCCATGGGGGGGGGGCCCTGAGCGCCGCCCGGCCAGGCCCAGCCACGAGCTGCCTGCAGGCTGGGCTCTCACGGGCTCCTTGGGAAACTCAGGAATTTGAAAACCTCTGGATAAAAACCCAAACCAAACTCTGCCCGCAGGCGGGGCCTCGGTTACAGCCCTGCAGCCAGGATGAGGCCTTGGGCGCCCCACACGGAGACCCATGTTTCTGAGCAGGTTCCCAGGGTGCCTCCATGCGGGGTGCAGACCATGTGGACACATCGGGTCGAGGTGGTGCAGGAGCGCCCAGCAGGGCCTGCCCTGGGCTGCGTCGGGCCAGCCCTCGGGCACAGGCGCCACTGGGCACACACTGCATGGTGGGCAGGGGTCGCGGCCCCGAGGGAGCCCTCGTGTGGCGACCGGGCCGTCCAAGAAGGAGCCCGAGGCTGCCCCCAGCCCTGCCCAGCACTCAGGCTGCGTCCTCACCCCCCGGGCCGTTGAGACACTGGCCCCGTGAGTCCGAACCGTGCAGACCACTCTGCCTTCGGAAGGCGGCAGCTCCCTGGCTGGCCGGGTCTCTGCCCTGAAGACTGACGCGGTGTGTCTGGTCACCTCCACGTGAGACGGCTCTCAGCCCCTTAGGCCCAATAGCATTTTATTTTTTTTCCCTTCATTTAAATGAAGAAAACATTCCAGCTTGTGTCTGGCTCTCGGCCCGGGCCCCCACCCCCACCCCCGGTGGCCGTTTGGCAGTGGTGGCCCGGCCTGTGGGAGCCTTGTTTACTCTGGCCGCGCTCCGCCTGCGTCTCCGCGTCCTACACAGGTGATTAGGGAGTCTAATGAGTTGGCTGTAAAAAGATAATTAATCGACATTTCCTCCCAGAGAGGTCAAGCGCGCTCTCCCTGGGGTGCAGCCTCCGTTACAAGTCGCCCCCCTCCCCGCCCCCCCCCCCGGACGCAGCGATGACCTTTATCTTGCTGATAATTAAAATCGACAGAAAGGCTTTGGAAATAACTCCTGAGAGCTGGGGTCGGTATCTATGGGCAGGGGCCCTGCCTCGAGCGTCGGCCTGGCTGGCCAGGGACCGCCCCCCACCCCCTAGAGTGGCCGGGACCAGCTCCACGGGCCCCTGCAGGCCAGGACGGGGCCCTCACCGCAGAACACGGTCCCCACATTGTCCCCAGGCTGAGGAGAACCGTGCGTCCCCCGAGATGGGCGCGTGGTGGGGCCGCTCTCTCGGAGGGTGGGGGCCCCGACCAGGAGCATGGCCAGGAGGGCCTCCTGCCTGATGGTGCCTCTGTAGCTCGGTCTGTTACCAGGGGCCGTCCTACATCCGGCGGCGCCTACCACCAGACTTCCGGTCTTTTCTATCAGGACCAGGTTTGCCAACAGGGTGGAGAAGGTGAGGAAGGGGCCGCAGGAGGGGGTGAGTGTTGGGGGCGTGCACGGCCACCCCATGACAGCAAGGTGGACGGTGGCAGGGCCAGGGCCGCCGGACATGCCTGCAACAGTGCTCTGGGGGCGGGGCGTGAGCAGAAGCCAAGGGCCAGGCGTCCAGAGGCTTGGTGCGGCGGCCGGTGGTGAGCTAGGACGCCGTGTGCGACGTAGCCGGCGTGGCCGGCCCTGGAGGTCCTGCGGCCAGATGGCAGGAGGCCTGGCCCGTCAGGACATCACACGTGCAGGGCAGACAGCAGCTGAGGGACCGCTGGGACGTGTGGCCTGGGAAGCCACGGCCCAGCTGAGACACGGAGGCGAAGGGGGCCACGAGGCCGTGTGCAAAGAGGGGCTGACGAGTGCGGGGCCCGAGCACGGCCAGGTTGTGGCCACGGTGCTGTGAGGGGCCCAGGACCCCTGTGAGGGCGGCGCCAGTGGGAAGGGCTGGGGCTGAATGCAGGAGCGAGGGGGAGGGCGGGAAGGGACCGGGCGGGAGCGGCGGCTGCAGGCTGAGCCCCAGTTCTGGGAAGGTGGCATCACATCTGAGAAGCAAGGGTGGCTGGCGGGGGGCAGTCAGGTGCGCAAGTCCCACGTGGTGGCCACACTTTGTGGGGAAGAGGCCTCGGCGCCCCAGAAGCCTCCTGGGCCCAAGCGGCTGAATCTCGGAGACCCCTCCTCGCACAGCGGACAGGCCGCCCCCTTGGTTAAGCCCACTGGTGTTGGGTTTCTCTTGCTTTCCACAAAAAGGGGTCTCAGAGCCGCCTTCTCTCTCGTCCTGGGAATGGCAAGAGGGGGACCCGCCCACACCCGCGTGACGGAGAGTGTCAGGCCTGTGTCCGAACCGAACTTGGCTGCCCATGTGACGACCTCCCCACCTGACCCGCCGCGTTGGGAGGTGCCGGTGTCAGGCGTGCAGGTGCGCACTGCGGCGCTCTCGGGGCCCCGGCTCCTCACCGAGGGGCTGTGATGACCGAACGCCGGCCCCGACCGGCCCTGGGGCTCCTGTGAAGACCCTCGGGCAGCTGCTTGGTGACAGGTCGGCTCCTCGGGCCCCTGAGCCAAGGGAGGTGATGTGCTCTGGGCTCCGTCCACACGTCCCCCGGCCACCCAGCACATTGAGGTCCGGGTCTGGCGTTGCTGCGGTCACAGGCACACATGGGGGACCCACTCTTGCACGGCCACCTTGGCGAGGGCATTAGGACACAGCGCTGGGGCCTTTACTGGCCGGAGGCGTCGGTAACAGACAACCAGCCCCCCTCGGGCCCACTGGAAACCGCCGGTGCGCTCAGAAACAAATCACTCCATCAGCAGCGGAGTTCACAGTCATTGCCCAGGACATGATAGTGTGGGGACAGCAAAAGCTGATGGGGAGAAGGACATTAGTTAAAGAATGTCCTTGCAGAAGGAAAGACTTTACTTTTTATAATGCGCCATAATGATGAAATTAAGGCCCCTCTGAGAGAGATGATTCCCTGCCTGTAATTTGGAAATACTTCTGGGGCCTGCTGGCATCTCTCCCTGCAGAAGCTGGGCTCCAGGGAAGGGGACTTAATGCCTACCGCCCCTGGGCCCCGTCCAGAGCACAGATGAGAGACGCCCTCCTCCACGGAGTCCTCCCCCCCGTTAGCGGGAGCACCCAGCCCACCTTGCCCGCCTCCAGCTGTCCCCACAGCCCCAGCCCCTCCCTGTGGTGTGACCAGCTCCCGCTGGTGGCTTCTTCCTGTGCGAGAGCCGGGCAGGGAGCTCAGGACGGAGGTCGGTCAGGAGAGCCGGGAGCCCAGTCCCCATGCGGTAGAGGGTCCCGACGCTGGGGTGGGGGGGACAGAGTGTCTGGGACAGAGCTGCACCAGCCTCACAACCCCCTCTCAGCGGCCGGCTGTCCATGCAAGGGACGGAAGGAGGGGGCAGCCAGGGCTGCACGCCATCGCCCGGTGCGGCGGAGCCTGGGGAAGGGACCGCCGGGAGACGGGTCGGCGGGAGGGGAGGAGTGGAGAGAGCCCGGATGGACAGGGTCCACAGTGGGGGTACCTGCTGCAGGGCCCAGCCCAGCCCGGAGGATGTGGGGGCTCCTGGGGGGCTCTCACCCCTTGTATTCCACACTCGTCCCTGATGGGGTCTGACGTCACCGGAGCATGCAGCCATGGCGTAGAAACGTCCTTCTCTGGTCACACGGTGCAGACCTGGGGCTTTCCTGGCCCAGGCGCCCTGAGCCTTGGGCGGTGACTGTGCGGTAGGAGACCCTCCTCGGCCCAGAGAACCGGCCTGCCAGGCCCTCACGGTGGACCCCAGGTGAGGGGGCGGCTAGTGGCCGAGGGCCACAAAATACGCCGGCACAGGGCCGGGGCTGTGTACCCCTCGCCGGGCGGGGCACGCGGCCAGCGCCCCAGCGGCCGAGCTACAGAAGCCCCGAGTCAGAGGCCGCGTGACGGGTTCTGTCCCATCTTGGCTTTGTGTAGTTTGAAGGGTCTTCTGTCCTTCACTTTCCAGGAGAAGCCTCGTTCCCCCCAGCGGGGGGACGCAAGCCCCCCGATCCTGACGACTGCAGGCGAGTGGAACAAGGCTGTGCCCGGTTCTCGGACGTCTGCCTCGGGCCCCCCCCACCCGGCTACCACCCAGTCCTCTTCCTGGACGCCTCCCACGAGGTACGGGCCGGGAGACCCCCGCCCCGGGGCTCAGCCCCCACGCCGCCCACCACCGAGGCCCGTGTGCTGGTTCCTCCTCTGAGCCCTCCCCCACTGCTCCTTCCAGAAGGCAGGCAGCAGCCCTGTGGGGGACCTGGGCCCCTGCAGGACGCCCGCCGCGCAGGCCCCGCCGGGAGGCAGCAGGTAGGAGACGCTGACCGACCCGGGGCGCTTGGGGGTCTCAGTTTCCCTCAGGCATGTGACCCTGGGACCCCACAGGCAAGGCCTCGGTCTGCCCAGGGGCTTCACGCGCTTCTGTGGCCTGGACGGTGGGAGAGACTGGGCTCCCTGCCTCGGGGGAGAGCCCGGGCGGCCCACCGAAGGGACGACACTCCCCGAGAGTGTGCGGAGGCCGGGAGGGGCCCACAGGGTGGGCGGGGCAGCCACAGGCCAGCCACGTGCGAGCCGCAGGCCCATGGCCCGTACTGGCCTGTCCTTAGCAGAGCAGACACGCGGGGCAGGGCTGCGAGCGCCACAGCAGGGCCCAGGAGACACCACTCTGTCCCCGTGTCAGCCACGCGCTCTCTCCAACCCACAGCCCTGCCGGGAGGAAGGCTGAGTTCCAGAAAAATCTCTCCCGGCATCTGTTTGTGGGAGCAGCCCGTCCCCTGCCAGGCCGCGTGGGCCGAGCCTCAGGTGGGACTGAGCTCACCTCCCCTCCCCCCAGAGCCCCCGGCTCGCCCGGCCTGCCCCCTCCCGGCTTGCAGCTCCGTGGGGCTTGGGCAGGTGCAGAGCAGAGCTGGGGCCAGAACCTCGGACCCTGAGAGAAGAGCCCCCACTCTTAGAAGACAGGAGCCCTCCCTCTGCGGGCGGGGGGAGATCCATGGTCCTGGGGGGAGGGGCGCCAGGCCTTCCAAGACGCCCACCTGCTGGCAAGGGCCGGCCTCTGACCCGCGTGTGGCCTTGTCGTCAGCCCCGGGGCACCAAGGCCAGCGTGCCCCGGGTGCCACTCGCTGCCTGCCAGGGGCACCCGTCCAAACAGCCGGTGGGAGGCCCGGGGCGCCCGTCCTGAGCCGCCGCCGCCTGCCTGCCGCTCTCCCGCAGTCCCGGGGCTCAGCGGTGACTCGGGGGTGGGGGGGGGGTGAGGCTGGCACAGCAGCGTCGCAGGCTGACAGGCCTTTGATCCCACCCGTGAGGTGGGGCCGGGAGGGGCCGTTTCCAGGGGAAGGTGCCGCCCTCTGTGTTGTTCTGAGTCACGGTTTGTGAATCACATACGAAGCCCGCTTTACACAGTAAGTGGAGAAGGACAGACTTTAAAAAAACAGCCAAGATCCCGCTGAATGCAGAGACGCCACATCCAGCCGGTGTCTCGGTCGCGGGAAGGCACGTGTGAGCCAAAAGCTGCCACACGCGGAGAGCAGCTCCCGTCGATGCGCACGGGCCGGCGGCGCGCAGGGTGGGTGCTGCTCCGGTTTGCAGCAGGGGCAGCAGGGCGGCCGAGGGGCCGGTGAGCCGTCTGCTTGCAGCAGAGAGAGGGCCCTCGGTGTCAGCTCCCCCCAGGGAAAGGAGGCAGGGCCCGCTCATTCTCTTGACAGTTTGGGGGGCTTGGAATTCAGCGTCCACGTCCGGCGGTCCTTGTGGTCCCAGGAGGGCTCTGCGCGTGAGCCGCTGCCGTGGCTGGGGCTCGGGGTCTCCCCAGGAGAGGAGCCCTGGCCGGGGGGCCTTGAGCGGGAGCTCCAGGGCTCGGGCTGCCCCCACCCCAGGGCCCCGCCAGCAGGCACGGGTCTGAGCGACGACATGCAAAGCCTTTTGTGGCTGCAGAGTGCCTCCCCTCCCCCCGCCGGAACCCACCTCCCCTGACCCCGTCACAGGTTCCCTGTGGCACGTCACCTCTCTTAGACCCCACGGCCCGAACAACCACTTCCTCCAGGGCCCCTGCTCTGTGCCCCCGAGGCCCCCACCCCGTCTGCAGGTCTTGTGGCCCCCAGGCCCCCACCCACAGAAGAGCGAGGGGAGCCTGCCAAGGCCCCCAGCATCTGCCCGGGCACCCCCACCAGCTCTGCTGCGGGGACATGGACCATCCCCGTGTCCCCTCACTGGCTCCTCACTCTGCTTCAGGCACGAACCCCCCACACCAGCATCCAAACCTGACTCCCGACCCCAAAAGCCCACCTTTCAGAACTCTTTGCAAACCATCCTTTCTAGCAACTGAGGCTGATTGGCAGATCAGGAGCCCGGGACCTCCCCCTGGGTCCGCTGTGCGTTAAGGAGCCCTCTCAGGGTCTCAGATCTGTGGCTCCGGCCTGGCCCACCCCCAGGGTCAGGGCACTGACGGGATGATTGCCTCCCATGAATGCGACCAATGGCCCGAGATGCTCCTGACGCTCCGTGGAGCCCCAGACCCACAGTGCCGGTGGGGAGGGAGGGGCGGTGCAGGGGAAGGGAGACTCTGGCAGCTTCCTGCCCCAAAGTCTCTCCCCTCCCTAGCCGCTTAGCACGCAGCCACCTCATCCCTGCTGACAGACGCCTCAACTTCCCGGGGAGGCCACCACCCAGACCCCGCTTTCTGCAATGGGGAGCGAGCCTGCTGGGACTGACCCAGCCCCCGAGATGGGGTGCAGGGCCCCGTCAGCTTTCCCCCCGGGCCCCCTACCCCAGGCTGCCTCAGGCAAACGCAGGGACCACGGGCCAGCCAGGCGTCCAGCCCAGAATTCTGCATTTCTGGTTGTAGGTTTATAGTCTGCCTCCCAGTCTAGAATGAGCCCCCCCCCGGAGGCAGGGCCATGGGGGCCAAAGGCCGGGAGGGGGCAGCCCCCCCCACCAGACCAGAGGCTCTACCTGCCTCCTCTCGCCCCCCAGCAACCCCAGGGCCGCCTGCCTCTTGCACGGTTCGCTGCCCCTCACTTAGATGAGCTATCGATGAGCTATCGGCAAAGCTGGTGGCAGACTGCTCCTGCTGTCCCCGTCCCCGGCCAGTCAGCAAACACAGTCCCCACACAAGGGTCCCAAGGTGTTACAATTTCCGTGGGGGTGGGATGGGGATGTGTGCCGATGGCTTCTGCCCCCAGGAGGCTCGGCACACCGCCCCCTCCTCACACCCAGGGGCCAGGGGTGCAGAATGGCCTGTGCATGTCGGCACTGGGTCCAAGAACTCCCGCAGGCCACAGACGGTGGGGCCACGGGGCTGACGTGATCATCCGAAGCGTCCCAGGCAGCTGCCAGCCCGCCTGGGGTGACCTGACTCAACTTCGGGGTCTGCGGCAGGGTCGCAGCTCCAGGGCTGTGGCCCGTACCCGTGTGCGGCCCCACGGACAGGGGCCGTCTCTGCATCTTCACCGAGGCTCCTGCCCCGAGTCACCTGTGCGCCCTGGCCCGTCCACCTCCACCTGGTGACCCCCAGCAGCCACAGTAAACCAGCCCAGGGCAGAGCTGCCCCGGAGAGCAGCCCCGGAGACTCACACAATAGAAATGACTGGAAAAGGTGCCTCCATCTTCACAGATTAAGAAGGACGCGCCACCCTATAATTTCAGAGCCCAGCAGAGATTTTAATTTACATAGGAAGGGAGAGCCTTCCAGAGGAGCCGTCCGCCTCCTGTTACAGCTTCCAGGCGTAGTTCTGCAGTATCTTCAGTGGCTGAGAATCACCTTTGTGCATTTTGGTGAAGGGAAGGGAGGTGAAGGGTCACACCCCATGGCCACTGGGTCCCCAGTGGCTTCTACCCTCCAGCACACGCTCTGACCGTTTATTCTTGGGGTGTGTGCCGCCCAGGGAAGGGGGCACGCGGGTGCAGCCCCATGCCTCGGGGCCCAGCCCCCAACCCACTGGGAGCCCTTCACCACACAGACCCCATCCCAGCCACGCCCAGCAGAGTCCCGGCTGGGAGGGCCCTGCACGTGGATGACCGGGCCTCCGAGCCGCGTCCCGGCGTCCCGGAAGGGCCGTGGAGCCATCTGACTCCATTTCCCGGGAGATGGCATGAATCACGACCCTGACTTCTCCCCTGACTCAGAGTCTGGGGCCCGCGTTCCCACCTCCCCAGGGTCAGGTGGGCCCCCTTCCGCGGGGCAGAGCGGGGCAGTGGCTGGCCGGGCCCTGTGAGAAGCCCAGAGGCTGCTCCTCTGTGCCCGTGGCCCCTGGCGAGGCTCTGTCTCCAGGGCGGGGGCTGAGCTCCGAGGGTCCCGGCTAGGCCTGCCCCATCAGATCCGGCTGACCCTGCAGGCCCCGCCCAGAGCACCTGGGGGTCTCAGCGGGGCCAGCCAGTGCTGACCCCACAGGACAGAGCCCAGGCCCCAGGGTGGATGAGGGGGGATGGCAGGTGGACCTGTGTCCCCGGGACAGGGTCAGCGAGGAGCCCAGGATGGAGGCTCCTGCGTCAGGTGTGCGGCGGTCACCTGCGCGACCCTGCCTGGAGGGGCTGCCAGCACCAAATATCTATTCAAGTAAAACACTAATCGGCTCCGTCTGTATTGGCCTGGTGACTGACGAAGTGAGTAATCGCGGAAGTCTTAATTAAACCCATTTTTCTCCACGTGAGCAGGGGCGGGGCTGCGCGGGCCAGCACATCGGGCTCCGGGCTGGCCGTGTGCTGAGCCGGGAGTGAGCAGTCACGGGCGAGGTCGGCCCGAGGCCCCCACCCACCTCCGGGCGGACTGGCCGCTGCCGCCTTGTCCTATTACAGGGTTTGGGGGGAGGGTGCCCGCTTCAGTGGGGTTCTCCTGGGCGGCTGGGCAGACTCACGGCCACATTTACAAAATCGACTCCATCTTTTGCAGCTGACACAGCTCCACATCATTCAGGAACTGACAGGGCTCTGTGTCATGTTGTGAAATTCCGTAATATGCCAGGAATGTCCCTGCGGGGACGCCTCGGGACGCGTGCGCCGGACCCCGGGCGTCCCAGAGAAGAGCAGGAGACCCGCGGGGCTCTGGGCAGGGGCGTAGGGTCAGTGGGGTCCCGGGCTGGTGGCCTGTCCTGGGTCTGAGCGCCGGCCCCAGCAGAGGGGCGAGGGGACCGATCCGGCGGGCCTTGGGATGGAGCCTCGCCCCGGCTGTGGGCACAGAGGAGCAGCCTCCGGCCTCCTCGCAGGGCCTGGCCAGCGCTGCCTCGCTCTGCGCTGTGCACGGGGTACACACGTCCCTTCCCTGCACCACGGCTGCCTCTGGGGCCACTTCTGGGTACCCCCCACCCCCTCCCTCTCTGCTCTGTGACCTACACAGGGCTCAGCTCCGGAGACCAGAGTGTGTGCTTTGGAACCCAAAGGTCCAGGGTGAAGCCCTCAGCCCCTCTGCCCCACGCCCCCCCTCCGGCACACCTGTGCCCTGCCCTGCACACACAGCACCCCCCCACCCCCCTGCCCCGGCCTTTGGCATGTGCTGGCCCCTCGGCCAGGAAGGTCTTCCTCTGCCTGCAGCCTGCGTCACCAGGCAATGTGTCTGCTGTAGGGCAGCCCTGCTCCTGGGGGTGTCCTAGCAAAGTGGGGGGCTGGGGGGACGGGTGGCTTGATCTCACATGAGCCCCAGGGCAGCACGGGGTGTGAGGGCTCCCAAGACAAGAGGGAGCCATGCAGCGGGCTCTGGTCCCCTGGGGACCTCGTCGCCCCTTCCTTGGCCACTGGCCCCTCCCAGAGTGGGCTCAGCCTCCGCCTCCCTCCCCCTCCCCGGGCTGGAGGCTCCTCCGGGAGTGTTCACGGAAAATCAGACATGGAGATTGATGGGTTTCTCTGCTTCCTCAGAAACTTTAAAGATGGAGAAATGAGCCCCATCATCCAAGCAGGAGTAATAAACGGAAGCAGGTGTGAGGGCCAGGCGGGAACAGCTGGGCTGGTGGGGTGCGCACCCCCCTCCCAGGCAGTGGGGCTGGGCAGGCGGCAGGCGGGGCCTTAACCCTTCCACGCCCGCTGCAGGCCCGCCCCCGCTCCCACACACAGCCCACTCTGTGGGCTTTCCGAGCCCAGAGCTGACTGGCCACTGGGGACGGGGGCCCCTAAACGGTTCTCAGGCCCCCAGGTCATCTGTGCCTCGGCCGTGGCCTCCGGCCGCTCTCCGGCTCGTGTGCGAAGGGGCCACTGAGGCAGTGCGACCCCAGTGCCCCCGGGTGCCCTGTGGGGCAGAACACGCTCTGCAGAGGGAGAGGAGCCGGGGCTGCGCGCCCATTGCACCCCGTGTCTGTGCCCGTGGCCATCGCTCGGTACCCGCGGCTCTGAAGCCCCTGCTTCTCTGGGGTCCCCCGAAAGCGACGATGGTTCCCAACTCAGCCCCAAGTCCGGGCCAGCCGCGCTGCAGCAGTTAGCTGCTGTTCTAATTTTGGAACTTTCTTATGGGCTCCCTGTGGGGGCCGCGGACAGCCGCAGTCTCCTGTCCCACGTGAGCAGGTCAGGAGAGCCTGGGCCACTTCTCTGCAGGTCACACAGCCTCAGGCTGGCCGTTCCCCAAATCCATGTCTTGACTGGCACTGGCCTCTGTGGCTCCCCGGGTGTCTGCAGCACATCCCATTAGTACCGGGGGACGGCCGTGATGCCCACACAGCTGCGGGCAGAGGCCAGGACCCTGGGCCTTGGCCCAGGCGGCTCCTCGCAGGGAGCTCTCCCCACCCAGGATATGGGAAGAGGTCCCTGTGCCTTCTCACCATGGTCTCACCACTGGGCCAGGGTCTGGCTGGGTGGCCTCAGGCTTCCTCTCCAATTATAGCCACTCCCACGGCTCTGTGCCCCCGGGGTGCCCAGGCCGCCATGGGCATCACCTCAGCAGTGGTCCTGCTGAGGGTCAGACATGCCTGTGGCAGTTCCGGTGGGACAGTCCCCAGGTGCATCCCTGGGGGCCTCGTGGTGTTTCAGTCCTGAGACATGCCTGTCCCGGGAGAGGCGGAGTCAGGAGAGCCTGCCGAGGTGGCTTGGCTCACCAGGAAGGACACTCTCAGGGCCTACGGAAAGGGAGGGGCGCGGGTCATGGGGAGTGGCGGGGCCGGCGGGGCCGAGGGGAGGGCGGCTGGACCGCTGGGCCACTCAGGCCGCCCGTGCCTGGTAGGAGCCTGCAGGGCTAGAGGTGGACCTGGGAGGAGGCCGCCCAGTCCTCTCCTGGTGCCTGCCTGGACCTGGGTCCGGTGGCTAAGGCCCACCAGGCCTCGTAGGGACCAGGAGACACACCGTGGGGACCTCACCACAGAGTGACTCATATGGTCCAGGTCCCACCTCACGGCGATGCAAGCAGTCAGGACAAGATGGCCTTTGGGGGCCCTGGAAGGGCAACCCCGAATTGCAGCCCCAGAGGCCTCACGCCCTGCCCTCCACTAGGAGCCCTGGCCGTTAGGGCCACAGAGACGTGACTCGGGGCCGTCTGGGCACCATGTCTCAGTCTGGTCTGTAAGTACAAGAACAGGCTTCTGCTTCCAGCCAGGATGGACCGCAAGGGGCTGGATCTGCCCTCCCACAGGTAAACACGTAACAAGCCAGGTAAGATCCAGGAAACCACGGCCGGCCTTCAAGACCCTGGACCTCAGGTGGGAAGGAGGAGGGGCCCCTGAGAGGCCCCAGCTCACTTCCCAGAGCATTTCCAGCTTTAGTGCAGAGAGGAGACCCAGCAGGTTCAGGGGTCCCCACGAGGGGACAGACGGAGCTGGGAGTCCCGGGAAGCTGAGGCAGCTAGAGTTTGCAGGAGGGAGCACGGGAGAGGAGGGAGCCCCAGAGATCTGCAGAGCGTGAGGAACGTGCTCTCGAATGTGCCAGGAAAACCACCGAGAGGGTCACAGCAAGTCCTGCCCAGAGCTCACACAGGGCCGTGAAGAGTGCTCGCTCCAGGGGCCAGTGTGGAAGAGCTCCGGCTCACAGGACATCAGAAGAGCCCTAAGTGGTGGGGAGTAATTAACCCTATCTTGAGCCCCACTTCAGAAACCTTCAAAGCAAGACCCAAAAGGATCAAACCGTCTCTAAGTAACTGAACAACATCAAGACTGTAAAAATACAGAAGCATCCAGGAGCCAAGAAAGTAAAATCCACAATGTCTAACATCTGACCAAAAATTACCAGGCACACAAAGAAAGTACAACCCGTAACAAGGAAAAGTAAACCAATCAAAGCCCACCCAGAAGTGACACCAATGGAAGAGCCCGGGGACAGCGGCATGCGACGCGGTCACCGGATTCTGTGTGTCCTGCAGGGGAGACTGGCCACGCTCAGCAGACGCGAGGCGGGAGGGAGCGGAATCACCCTCTAAATGCACGTGGGGGGGGGGGTTGGCGGGAGGACGGGAACCGGGCAAGCTTGTGGCACAGCCACAGAAACGCCCCAGATGAAACCCAGGAAGAGAGGCAGGACCGGACATCGTGAGCAAGGCAGCCTGCACTGTCCAACGGCTCCTATCGGCCAAAAGTGCACGGAGTCAGGGGCTCCAGCTGCTGCAGGGGGTGACGTGACGGAGGAAATGAAGAAAGAACAGCCACAATTTTTTCAAACTCGATGAAAAATATAAACCTACAGATTGAAGACACAAGGAACCCCAAGCGCAGGAAACCCCAGCCACAGATAGAAACACGGCTGGAGCGCCGGGCCCCCAGCCCCGCCCAGCCCCTGGGTCCCCAGTCTCCCCCGCGCCCTTTCTGCCCCAGGGGAGCCAGCACCGGTTCCCAAAGGGGGACCGTTTGCTCCTCTAGCTCTGATCCCCCCTTGATTCCTGGAGGCTCAGCCCAGTGCTGTGTACACAGTCAGTGCCCAATTAGTGTTCCTGCTGTCACATGGCCGCCCAGGGCTCCAGCCGCACCCTCAGCGCGTGGCCTCTGGGGACGGCCTCTTAGGTGTCCCAGGGCGCCAGGTCCCCACCCCGCGGGTCTGGGAGAGCCGTGCCGCTGACGGGCGCCTCTGGCCTCGCCCAGACTCCCCAGCTCCTTCCCGGCTCTGCCTCTGATTTCTCGAAGCCCTGGGGGTTCTGTAAAAACTCTTGGGATTCTTGTAACCCCGTCGCTTTCTCTGGAAGCTGGCAGGCTGACAGACTCCGGTTATTCTTAGTGCTGAATTATTTATCTGTGTTCCCCTCCTCACCCACATTTCAGAATCTGTAACGTGGCTCCTGGGTCCGAGCCAAGGCCCATTTTCCCCCGCTCAAAATGAAGTAATTTTAAAATCTTTTGTCTTTAATTTTTTATCACCCAAACCATGCCCGTGGTAATTAAGCTTGGCAAGGGGTCGGAGCCTGGCAGGTCGCCGAGCCGATGCCAGGGAGCACCCCCCGTCCTCCACCCCCAGCTCTGACGAGGCCAGGCTGGGAGGAGTCCCCTGGCTCCCCCCAAGGCCACTGGATACATCATTCAGGGCAGAGCCCAGCCGGTCCCACTTGGGGCTTCTGTCCCACCAAGAAGTGCACCTGGCAGCTGGGGGAGCCGGTGGGGGGGCCTCCACACGACACCAGCACCCTCATCTCCCCAGGGTGGCCTCCTGGTGACCGCCCTGTGGGCAGGCGGAGTGGGCACATCACCACACACCCCGGAGCAGAAAACCCCCGGTCAGGTCGAAGCTCTCAGACTTGGCCTTGACTGAGGTGCCTCGGGCTGCCCGTCAGGGCCTCTTGTGACACCGTGTGGCCGCCGTGGGGGAAGTGAGGGTCTCCATCCCTCGGACTCGGGTCCGAGCCCGGGCACCCCCACGGCTGGTCTCTGCCTGCTACCTTTCCTTTCCCTTCCCATGAGGCTCCCAAGTAACAATGGCCTTCAGTCCCTCTGAGAGGGACCCAGGGGGACACACCAGGGCCCCACTGAGCCCAGTCACCGCTGGAAAATAAACACCACACATAAGTCCCTTCCAAACAGAGCCGGTGCGTCAGCCCTTCTCTGAGCGGCCTCTGCCCGCCCCCCCGTGAGGACGCGGCGCAAGAAGCACCCTTGATCCTACAGAGCTGCGCGCGGAGCAGGGACCGTCTGTGGCCCCAGCCTCTGTCCGCGGGCATTTTTGGGTTTAGACGGCGAGGCACCAGGCCAGGGGCAGAGAGCTGCCCAGACGGGGTACTTACCTCACCCCCCAGAGGCAGAGATGGGGCCTCGGAGGACAGGAGGTCACACCTGAGGCCACCAGGCAGGGACGGCAGGGTGTGCGCTGTCCTCAGGGCCCCGGGGCCCTGGCTGCAGTTTTGGGGGCAGAGCCGCAGGCAGCTGGGCACCGGGCGGCACTTCAGGGCTTCCTCCTCCTCCCTCCACAGGCCTGACGGGGCGGCCACCGCAGAGCCCGCGGCTGCAGCCTTCCCAGGTAGGGGGCCGGGGGGGGGGGCGGGGGACCGAGGGGGGACAGACGGGGGGAGGTGGGGGACAGGGGACAGAGGGGGTGTGGCCCAGCCCACCATCACCTCACAATCCACACGTATCATCGAGCTTTTGGAGACTCCCTTCCCCTGGACACACCCCTACTTTCAACACTCATCTGGACTCTGGCAGCCAGGGCACCTGAGAAGGCAGCTCCCCGCCTGGCCGCCCCCACGCCCCCCAGGGCACCCCGGGTGGAGGGGACATGGGGCCCCCGGAATGGCTGCGGGTGCCAGGGGGGGTGCCTCTCTCTCCCCAGGACGAAGTGAATCTCTCTGGTTCCTTGTGTCCAGGGTCCCGGTCGCATGGCCAGCAGGCTTCCAGGTCTGGGCCCCCTCGACCCTTGTATTTGGGGTGTTAGCAGAGCCTGTGGCCCACATGCCCCACCTTGTGCAGGGGAGCTGGGCTCTGGGCAGTGCCCCCCACCCTGCCATGCAGGCCTCAGGAGTCCCAACGACAGCCACGTGATTCTGCTGACTGGCCGGCAGAGCTGGTGCTGTGGTCCCTCTATTTTAGGACCCGGGGCCCCCCCGTGCATCCCTGAGGGTGGGCAGAGGGGATGTCCTCTGCACTCGGTTAGGGGGTCCGATGGGCGACGGGCTGGAGGAGGGCCAGGTCCCGAGGAGAAGCGATTTCCAGGCTTTGAGGGGTGAAGCCAGTGGGTGGCCGCACCGGCTCCGTGGGGACGCTGGGCACAGAGCCCACGGCCAGACCACGTGGGCCAGGCCTCGGGTGGCTTCTGAGGCCGGCACGGTGGCCACCGGCCAGACCTCCTGCCGTCCGCGGGGAGCGGAGCATCGGCGGCGAGGTCAGCCGAGGGCGGGGGCTGGTCCCGCGGCCGCTGCCCACGGAGCTCGCTCCCCAGCCGGGCCGCTGGCCGCAGGCTGGCGTAGCTGTGTCCCGGGAACACCTAGAAACGGGCTGCTTGGAAACACTGGCGTTGCCATGCGCGGCTTTTCCTCCGGGCCGGCCAGGGGGGCCTGGTGCCCGGGGCTGCGGAACGGGGGCCCCTTCTCAGGCCCCCCAAATTTCTGAAGGAATTGACTCAAAGCCCAGCAAATTCCTGCTCCGCCCCCCCCAGGGCCCTTTCCCGTCCTGCCCCCGAAACACAGGGCGTCCACAGTCCCTGGTGAGTGTGCGGTGAGGGGAGTGCCCGCTTCCCAGACCAGGGCGCTGGAATGTTCTCTCTGACGGTGTGAGCCGCCTCCTGCGCCCCGGTTCAGCTGCGGCCGCATTCCTGGTGAGAGCCCGGGCCAGCCCAGCGAGGTTTTTCCACGCTCTGGTGCCAGCCCCCTCGGGCTCGGGGGAGGGGAGAGGAAGGTTTCCATGGCAACCGCACTTTCTGTTATTTCTTATTTTCTTTTTTATGGTTTCTCCAACTTTGAAGCTCTGCAGACAGTTTACAGACTGCAGAAGGGAAAGTGCTTCTCTGTCCCCGGGCGGCCCCCCCCCCACCCCAGCCCGGCCCAGCCGGCCGGGGGCTTCAGACAGACCCGACGATTGTGTCTTCCGAGGCTTAATTATTTAAAAAAACATTTTAGAAGAAATGAATTACTTTTCTGCTAAAAAGATAGGGAGTTTTGTCAAAAGAATCCTTGCACTCAGCCGTGCAGCCCCATCGGGGGTGAGGGGTGCTCCACCCGCCAGGTCCTGGGGCCACAGGGCCCGGGAGAAGACTGGGGGTCCCGGGCAGGGCCTGAGGGAGGGCGGAAGCCGAGGCCAGGGCAGGAGCCGGGCAGCTGGGGGCTACCAGGGACGGAGTTTGAGCACCCGTGTTTTACAGGGGAGTATGTCATCATGATCCACGATGTGACCGATCCTCCCTTCCTGGGCCACACGCTGCCCACTGCCTTCAAGCACCTTCGGGTCTTGGGGAAGGGGACGGACCGGCAGCCCCACATCCCTGGAGAAGGCCCCGAATCCCCGAGCTAGAAGAGCCACCCCCTTGTGCCCCAGAGCCATCCATGTCCCCCCTCCCTCTTCCTCCCCTTCCCCCGTTGGCCTAGTGGGGGCTGGAGGGGCACCTTTCATGCACCCCAAGGCCACTGGCTTTAATAAAATGTTCAGTACCGACTACCAAGAGGTGCTTTACCCAGACGCAAGCCCTTCCCCACACACCCAGGATACCCGTAGGGGCTCCCCTGGGTGACTGCCAGGCCCCCTTCGGGCTGGCACCCCCGGGGCCCCAGGATGAGCCCAGGCTGGGCTGGGAACGCGCCGGACCTTGTCCCCCTGCGACAGAGTCCGCCAGCGACGCTGGCCTGACTGACCCCTCAGAGCAAATGCTGCCTCCCCACCCACAACCCCTGCCTTGGAGGGTGCCCCCCCACCGCCCCTGAAAGCAACCCGGAGACACGGGAACCAGCCGCCAAAGGAGGAATCAAGAGGCGGTAAGCAGGTGACTGGTTTTCCGGAAATAGGCTTCGTGTCTGCGGGCACGGGACGGGGACACCTCAGGGATTTCACGGCTGCCTCTGAGCCACAGCCAGTGCCCGCGAGAGAGGGGCTCCGGGCAGGCAGCGGGGCCCCCTCCTGCGTCCTCTCCTGAGTGGGCTCACCCTGGTGCACCCCGTGCTGGGGGGCTGCACTTGCCCCTGGGCCGCGAGGCCCCCTGCCTCTTCTCGTCCTGAGAAACAAGGAGTGGGGAAGAGCATCCAAGCCCCCCCCCCCCGCTGCTCCTGGCCCAGAACCCCCGCAGAGCCCGTGCCCCTCCTCCTGGACGAGGACCCCAGCCCCACTCCCTCCTGGATGGCGGGACCACCCACCCCCGCTCCACCTGTGCCCCCCGCTGCTCCCTCGCCCCCCCTCACTGCTGGGCCAGGGCTCAGCCCCCAGTCCTGGTGCTGCTGGGCCCCCGGCGAGGCGCAGGGGAGAGGAGTGACGGGATGGCCTCCCTCCGGCCCTCAGGGCATTGCAGACGAGCACCCCACACCAGCCCACCCCCCCGTTCCCTGATCGTCTGCTTCTCCCCTACACGTGCTGGTCATGATGCCTACAGTGCTCGCCTCCCTGATGGCACCTTCTCACGAGGCCTTCCTTGGCCACCAGCTCTGAAGCCTCACCCACCTCACGTCCTCTGAGCAGACGGGGGCTGGCGCACCGACCCCCTTCACTTGTCTGCTCCCCAACGTTCAGAGGAGATGTTCGGTCTCTTTTGGTCACTCGCACAGCTTTAACATCCAGCACATGTGTTGCCCACAGGAGGCCTCCAACAAATACTTGTTGAATGAATGAGTGCATTCAGAGCACCTGCTCTGTGCCAGCCAGAACGGGAGGCCTGGAGACAGACTGGGCAGAGGAGGTGTGCAGGGAGACTGGGAGCTGAGTAGCTGGCAGGATGGCTAGAAAGATGGTTTGATGGACGGATGGAAGGAAGGGTGGACGGATGGATGGACGGATGGATGGTGGATGGATGGATGGATGGATGGATGGATGGTGGATGGTGGATGGATGGATGGATGGATGGTGGATGGATGGATGGATGGATGGTGGATGGATGGTGGATGGTGGATGGATGGTGGATGGTGGATGGATGGATGGATGGATGGGTGGATGGTGGATGGATGGTGGATGGGTGGATGGATGGATGGGTGGATGGTGGATGGATGGATGGGTGGATGGTGGATGGATGGATGGGTGGATGGATGGGTGGATGGACGGATGGATGGATGGTGGATGGAT